ACTCTCAGTTCAATAAGAATCAATTAAAAAAAAAGCTTGTCAAATTGACACAAAGGACGAACAAGGCTTAAAGAACTTAATATTACATTGAAACTTCATAATTGTTACGACCAAATGAAAAAAAATCAACATTTAATTTGTCAAAAATCGAGTTAAAGTTCCCTAGATAATATTCCTGGATTCTCCCGTAAAATTTACTGGGAAGTTATGAAAGTGGGCGCCGCGCGCGTTAAACAAATCTTTTCTCGTCCGACGATAATTTGCAGCCGCGGGAACGAGCGTCAACCGGACTTTTCTAACAGTTTCTAAAACACGCCGGTCCCGCCGGTTTGGCCGTGACACACATCGGGGGAACCAGCCTTTCGCATCCTCTCTTGAAAAAACATCCAACCCGTCTATACCCATAACTCACTCCCGAGATTTCTTCGAGTGTGTGTATGCATGCCTGTGTTTCTGTGTGTGAGAGTGTGTTTCTTATCGCGAAGAGGAAGCGCGACCGATATATATATTTCTTCGCAGCGTTTTTCGGAAAACGTCGCTGCTCCGAGAGCCAAACATTGTAGATTATCGGGGCTCTTAATTCGTCCGCGATCAAGTGACCGTTACGATATCAACGGGGGCCTAGTTTACCATTCTCCCATGGCAGCAACTTAAATAACCACGGGGAATTCCATGTTACTCCTCGGTGAGCAAGTAGGCAAGGGGCTCGGAGCATTCGACGATCTCGCTGGTTCGTTCGTTTGGCATTACTTTCAGGCAGAGATGAAAAATAAAAAATAAAAAAAGTATTTCGTCATTTTTAATTATTTAAACGTGGAAGTTTCAATTTTTATAATATGATAGTACTTCTTTATGAATGAATCGACATTTGTCGAACAATTATTTAATATCATTAACTGTTTGAAGCTCAGTACGACACCCTTAGATACTGCTTCGGCTGTTTCGGTAGTCCTAGAATTAAGGTTTCGTTCAACGAAAAAATTCTTCGGTTCTCGATCGTTTGCTCGATCACTTGCGCAGACCCGGGGGGAGGGAAAGGAAGAGTTTTAAGGTTTGCTGGTCAAGATATCATGTGCCAGGCAAGGACTACAACCGCTGGTTACTGCATTGTGCAATGATTTCCAGCCGGCGGAAGGTTAAACCCGGTTTCGTGGGCTGCGCGCGAGCGCGTTGCGAGAACCGAGAGGAACTAATCGTTTCTAAGAACCCGTGACCTAAATCGAGTGGCGTTAGGTATTCTTGGACCTTCCTGATTCGCGCGTGATCCGCGGATGCTTCGAGCGAGCCCCGAAACGCGTCGATTCGAAAAAGAAAGCTGTTCCATACGAATCCCTGGGAATCTTTGAACACTCGATGTTTTATCAAATCCGTTTAGTGGAAGCTCCGAAAGATCACGAACGATGTCAAGGATCACTGAACAGAGTGTTTTCAACATTCCAGACAGATTTTACGATTATGGAACGTGCAAATAACCCAAGGATGACGAAAGAATGATGAGCAACGTAATTAGTCGAACTGTCGGTGCGCAGACTATTTCGTTGTACTCTTGTGCATTTTTGTGAATCGACATTGGACACAAAAATGACGTTTAATCGTTTCTAGACAGTGGATGTTTACGTAAGAACAGGTTTTTATAGGATTAATCGATAGAAAGTGGAACTGAATGATCATTCGTTTGATTAAGGGGTTTCTGAGGTTCGCCAAACAATTTACATAATGGGTTCTAGATAATTTTAACCATAGAAATGTATAAAATCTGCAGCCCAGAAGTTAGACTTGATTTCGATTATATTCTATAACATAGTGTATATCTATTCTATCTATACGTATAGATCTATTTCTGTCACATTGGTATACGGGGACTGCTTGTTGAAAACACGCAAATCGATTAACGAACGAACATCTTGAATTATACACTGCATGGCGTAACTATAAAACCACCCTAAAATTTTCAATTCTTATTGTATTATTGTTTAAATAAAACCGAACCCAGTGTGTCGTGTCTGAAATCATGATAAGAAATAATGTTTCTCCAGAAAAGGATAGATTATATTCCCTAGAAAAAATAGTGGTTCGTTTTTATTTTAACCATAATACAATAAAAATTGGAAATTTTCGGGTGATTTTATAATTATGCCACGCAGTGTGTATTGCAGTAAAAGTTGCAAAGAATCTCAGAAAATACGCTGTTATGACGTTTTCATAAGAGTTTCCGAACTAGTCATTTCGATCCTAGCGTTGTAACGAAGTAGAACATGGCGCTTGCGGTCAGACAAACAACTAGAACGACGGATTCTCGTGTCTCTTTGAGAGCTCGTCGGGGCACGAAAGTGTACCAAAGACGAGTCGATTTCGTGGCTGTTCCAACGTCGAACATTCTGGGAACACGAAAGCGTTCGATCGCGACGTGCAGACGATCCTGCATGCGGAATTAATAGTCCGAAACGATGACGAATTAATGTTTAAGAAGAGTCAGCCTACCTCCCTGTGGTAGTTTCCAGCGTGCACGACTTGGGCCTGAAACTTTTACGAGGCACGTGCGCGAAATTGCAGCCTGGCTCGAGTCCTGGATAAGTGGACGAGAGGGAGGAAGAGAACGAGACATGGCCACGTGGTGCACCGCCACGCGAATGCAACTTCTCCGACCGATTTTTCGATATATAATTCAATATCGGTGGCGTGTCTGGTCTTGGAACAACGGCTATGACTCGCAACTATTTTGTGGCATTCAGAAAAAGCTTCTTGTAATGGCAATTGTCGTAGAAATAGACTCGATTAAATTACCTCGATCTGTGGCTGATGTGGCCCAGTGTCCACGAAATAGAAACGTTGAAATTCTTGCCTATTTTCAAGAGAAACCTCCGCCCGAGACACCTAATTTATTTCAATTTCGCCGTGCGTTGCGACCAACATCACGTCTGAAAAAACTCCGAAACCGCGTCATCTCTTATTCTTTATCTCCGGCGATCAATATTCATGCGACGAAATAACGCGACGAAGCAAAGACGATCACGTAAAACGATGGTAACTGAATTCCAAACTTCGGTTTCCCAGTTTCTAACGGCGGATTCGAACAGGGACGGGAATCAGGCGGCGGTCCTGAGAAAGCCGACAAAACACGAAAGAAGGACGCGTGTTCCCCCTGCCCCCAAAACGCCACGCAAGAGAAAGTCGTCTACTGCGCTCCCCAAACGAATGAAACGAAGAGTGACGTAACTGCAGTCGAGCGTTTGAAGAAAGAAAGAAACCTTACCCCTTCCTACCAGAACGTCGAACAAATTTTTACGCTAGAAGCCATAAATAAAGAAGCAACGGAACCACACGAACCGCGAAATTGTTCGGTCCATTACCCAGTGTTTCCTCATCGAGGAATCATTTGAGGAAATGATTCCTCGATGACCCGTTACAAAGACGCGACGAATCGTTCGTTGGAAAGACACCGGTCTCTCGACCGTGATGATTTCGGTCAGCATCTCTTCTAACGAAAAAAAAAAACACACACACATACCTAAGCCTGCTCCTAACGACAAAATCAAAGCTAGAATAACTGTACTTTAACAGAATGGACCAACAGTCTCCAAAATCACGCCCCCCCCCTCTGATGCTGCCCCCTCCACGCAATCTGTGACAATTCTAGCGAAGCCGGCGATCGCTTGCGAAACACACACGTCCCTACGAAAAAAAGCCTTTCTCTTTCGGCTTCCTTGGTCTTTTCCTCTTCCGTGGACACACACAAACACGGTTGACCCTGTGTGTCCCAGCGCACCTCTGCGCCCCCTCGCCCTGTTACTCTTTTTCTCTTCAGCATCTCCTTTTCCCGTGTTGGGCTCAGCTCGAGCAAGCACGGTTAATGTCGATAACCGTGCTTGCATTAGTTGCCGGTTCGCTTCTTTCTTTACCCCCGCCGCGGCTGGCCGCTCATCTAGCACCCGATTAAAAATGGTTAAAGCATCGTCGTCGTCGTAGTAGCCCGCGACATCGTACGATCCTGCATGGGGTGGGTGGGGGCAGTGTCTAGGTGGGTTGGCCGGCAAAACCCCACCCTCCAGGTACCTACGGGTTACGGCGTCGTGGTGGCGTCACGCCCGGTGATTTGCTCGCCGGAGCAAAAGATGTTCTCTCCCCGGTGGCTGCACCGGAGGGCCGGTGTGCCACCTGCATCCTCCTCTCTTTGTACACTTTGTTCACACCGTGAAGGCGAGAGGCCGTGTGTCGTAAGGCACAGAAACACAACGTGGTGTACCCAGGTGGGTGTCGGAACGGGGAACAGCGTCTGTAAATCTTGCCCAACCGCCACACCGTCGACGCTCTCTTTCCGCGCGTTAGAGCGCCGACCAAGCGAGGATCGGCCCCCGACAGGTAGGGAAAAAAAAAAAGGTAAAGAGGCGAACTTTTCGAGGACGGACCACGTATGAGACATGGACACTCGGTTTTGATGGAATGGGAGCTGATGAAAAGGTATCCCCCTTATGTGTAATTTCTGGAATAGAAAACCGTTCTGGGTCGTTAACTATGAAACTTGAGAAATGTGAAAACGCAAGTTACGGAAGTTACAGTGTAAGGAAGTGACGGCGGGACCAATGCAGGTACACATGTATCCGAACCTGTAAAGCCGTTTTTCTTGGAACTATGTTTCTCAAAACGGCGAAGATCGTAAGTCGAGAACGGAGCGATATTGTTTGTTGAATTTTTCATCTGAGCCTACAAAACATTTACCCGCACAAAGTAGAACTCTTTATAAAATATTTTAGAAACTTTTATGTTGCATAAAAATCCGCAGTCTACTTATAACATAGGTTTCTATTTCCGTAGAAAAAAATATTTTTCTAAACCATCACATGTTTTCTTTCACTCGTAATCTTCACGAATCATTAGTAGCAACATACGTTACAGAATAATTCAGTGATCTAAGGATAATTAATAATACTGCCGTAGGTTGTACGAATATCAGAATGATTAAAGTCAATGGAAAAATAATACTGATGAATCGTTTCACTCACCATCAGGAGTGGTGACAGTGCCAGCCTTGTTGATTTTCGTGTTCCACATAGCGGGGGTGGTCGGTGCAGGGCTGAGATCAGGAGTCGGTGGGTGAGCCGGTGGCAATGGGACTATAGCCGGGCCCATTTGTCCACCGTGCTGCATGTGGTCCGAATTCTGACCGTAATGGCCGCCGTCGAACCCTCTTCCCCCGGTGTAAACCTCGCCCGATAATCTTTCTGCCAATTTCTCTGCCCTCTCCCGATCGGTGAGCGCCACCGGTTCTTGCTTTATTCGAAGGTCTGCGAGAAAATACAAAAAAAAAAAAAAAAAAATAAATAATAAGTCATATGTAACGTACACCACACGTACAATAGACGCGTTGTTCTTTTTTACACTGGCGATGGAAATATATTTTACGACTTATTTTACCGTAAAGGTATTTTATTGCAAAGAATTACCTTCAGCCACGCTCTCCTTCAGGTCGCAATTGCTACGCTCCTCGGACCTCGCACGTTCCAGTTCCTGTTCCAATTCCGTCGGTGTGTGGGGCGCTGTGTGGGGATGCGCGGGTGTCTCCGAGGGATGAGTGAACGGCTGATAGAAGTGGTTTTCCAGGAGTAACGGATGCGGAGCGGATGCGGGCCGGAAAGCGGTGCCGTCGCGTAACACGCTCGCCCTTCCGAGACTATCAACGTCGCTGGGCGATCTAAAAATATCGGCGGCACCGAAAGAAGACACGCGGTACGTAAGTAAGAAGAAGAAGCCAGTATCGAAAAATCGTCGTGTTCGACGAGAACAATAGAACGTTCTAGATCGATCAGAATTGGGCGGCTCTCTTTTGCCCCGAAACGTGGTTTCTCCATTGAATTTAAACAGGTGAATCTTCTATAGATATCCTGACCCCGGAGCCAGAGTTTATTAAGTCACACTTTTCAAACTTTAGAGGAGAGGAAATCAAAGGTGCGAAAACATTGTAGCTTGGGAACGCTTCGGTGAGAATTGAGCGAGAAACAATCGCTACTTTCGAACTATTGAATGGATTTCAGACAAGTTTCTATATGTAGAAATAGTGAACTTTGCATTGATTTTCCTGTTTAATGAACTTTACACTGTTTTAAAAATATGAACTTAATATCATTTTTAGACTACTATATATCATATTAAAAACTGGTCGACTTAGAACGAAAGTATTTTTACCATCGGAAAGAGTGAAATATTTGATACAGGAAACTAATAAGAAACGCCACCAGAAGGTACATACGTGGTGTGTCCAGCGACGAATGGCAGAACCATTGGGAGCGTTGTGTGCGTTCCCAAAGATCATACTTTGACACAGATACAGTGCGTTGCTCGGAAGAAATCCAGCGAGACACATGGTCTGATTGATCAATATTATCGCATTAGCCAATAAAGACAATACGTGTGCCCAATATCCTACGTCTATGTCAGAGAAGGTAGACTTAGAAGGATACCCCAATCGGCCTACCCTTCGCTGGATTTCTTCCGAGCAACGCACTTTAACACAAACTTGTAAAATTGATCAGAAAAGCAATACTCACAAAATGATTCTCATTACTTTCTGGACACACCACGGACACAGATTCCGTTGTCGAAAAGCGAGAGGTTTCTTAATCGACCAACGAAATCAATTACGGGACCGCGTGGAATGCGGGCCCCCTCTGATTCGATCGGCATTAGAACGTCGTCGGAAGGTCACCCATATGCTCGTGGCCAGAGTTTCGTTCGTGGTACCGACACGCGAGTCCTTCGCGACAGTAAGGTAAAAGGGCTTACCTCATCAGCCTTTTCGGCGGGCTTTCGTAATAGTGAGAGGTAGAGTAGAGGCTGGGCACGGTATAGGCAGGAGCGGGCGACGGGGCCGGTGTGGGGGTTCTCTTCATGGTGTTCCTCACCATGGTTGCTTCACCCGCTTCGCTCAAGTCGCTCACCTCACCGACACCGCCGCCGCCGACACCACCGTTCCCGCCCACGCTACCACCGACGCTACCGCCGCCCACATTACTGTTCACGCTGCCGCTGACTCCGCCACCGTTCTCGCTGACTCCGCTGCCACCGCCACCGCCGCCACCACCCCCGGTGTCAGTGGACGAGTTATTGGTCTCCGCGGCGTGCCTCTGCGCCACCGCCAGTTTCTCGTGCTCGATGGACAGACCCTTTACCTGCAAACGGAAAGGCGAAGATTTCGGTTAGAGATCGTTAAACAATGAAGAGGGTCCGCGTTCTATGATGACGATGACTTCTTAAGGTCCTTTGGACCGGTTGATTGTGTTACGCAGGATCAATTGCAATGGCGTTTGGAGAAAAGTCATTGATTTCTGTTGCTATACCAATAAGTAATCCTCACTGTACACGGTTTTCCAATTCAAGTTGAAACAGCAATTAATATTCAAGCTTCTTATCCGCAATTATTGAAAGTAGAACTTAATTCAAGAATTAGTTTAAAAAATACTTCTACACTTGGGCAAAAAGCAAGTTTAACAGAAATATCAGTTACTCTCGACACCAAGTGTTACGAGACCGTTCCCTTACGCCACTTTTTCCCTTAGCGGAAGCCGAGTTTGCTCGTCAGCGAGTACATCTCGATCTTCAAACGGACATCGACACCGTTCCGTTCCCGCGGCGGTGGTTTAAAACCGGATCTCCTGACCATTAATCGTGGCCAAAAATAAAATCGGTGTTTCCACCCCCCAAAGAATGCAAAGTACGCGGGCTCCACCCCGAACACACGTGACCGCTATATGCGGGGAAATTATTTATGTGAAGAAATATGTCGCATACTTGAAGGCATTCGGCCGCTTTGAGGAAAGAGCTGAGGGATTCCTGGGACACGTGTACCTCGCCACGGTACATGAATTCGAGAAGGGACGCCATATTGTGGGCGCTCGTCCCATCGAGAATAACGATCAGTCCCGCGGGAGATGGAGGCATTCCTTCGAAGAGCTCTTGGAAATGTTTGCTGCATGCTGCGAGGATTAATCTGTGCGCCTTGAACGTTACGCCTGAAACACACATGAAAATTCGGAATCATTAGCTGGATCGTCCAGAATAAATGATCGATGATACAAGGCAGGCTGCGGATGTTTATGCGCTTATAACACGGAGGACACGGACACGGTTACATACAATTCCGACTTTTAATAAAAATAGCAAAATCTGAACGCAACAAGTTAAATATGCTATGGATAAAATTGATATGAAGGTATTAGTGTCTGCTGCCCACAATTGTGGAACTATTATATAGAAAAGCAAAAAATCTCGCTCCGACTACTAGTTTCTAAAGACCAGTTCGGTTCAACTATAATTAAACTGTTCGAGTGTGCGGCTGAACCGATGATTAAAGGTTAAAAGTATCCCCGTCTCTCTACCGGCTATTACATATAACAGTACCCGAAATGACCTGATATTAAAACGTAAAATAACCCGATCATTTGGTAGGATCCGTGGCCCAAGTCGGTTTTCCACGAAACGCTCGACTTTCCTTGGACGTGCCGTACGATTCGATGTATTCGGTGGTCCTCCACGTTTTTTTTTTCTCACGGGTTTCATCGAGTCCCCGGGGACCGCGGGAATTTTGGCGTGCAAAGGAAGTGGTGACCGCTTCGAACCCTTTTTTTTCCCTCTCTTCTCTTTGCTCGCGCGTTCTCTATTTCCCGCCACGGGAGAGCATAAAGAACCCATGGATACCAGCTTGACGTCGATGCCCTTTCTTGCAGCCCGTTGGATATCTAGGTCATCTTCGGACACGATCTTCCGTAATTTACAATTCACGCGCGCGCAAGTGTAACGTGCGCGTAATACGATATCGTGCGCGCGTCTAACGTATATGGCACCGTGTAGATTGTTAGAAAAAAATCCGTGAGGTACATACACTACCGACCAAAAGTAAGCAGGGGACCAGGTCTGATAATTAAGGTGGCTCACGCAAGGTTTTTAATAATTATATATTTAGTGGAAAATTTAACAGAACATTCTTAGAAACTTCAACTTTCGATTGCTACCAAAAAATCGCAAGGTCAACGATAATAAAATTATTAAAAAAGAAATTTCTTTTTAATATGAGCCTTATGGAACTGTGGTTGATACTGAGAAGTTAATCACTTCTTATTTAGTTATAAAAAATGACATTTTCGTAAAAAATTATATACTATAATAAACTTTATAACTATAAACTTTTCTGTACACAATTCTTTACACCTTATACGTTTTTAGTAAGTAATAGGGACACTGGAAGTAATTGGGACATTTACCCTTTATGCACTTCAATGAATGAAGTTAGAAAGAAAATCGTTTCAAAAATCTACGCGTTATGTATATGTAAGTACTCGTAAGAGTGGCGCGGTTAGGTGATATTGCAGTGTAGTACTATAACTATACATATAGTTATAGTACTACACTGCTGACCAGGCGTTGAAGTCTCCGCCGGCTGGTCGGTATTCAAAGGGTTCGACGATTCACTCTTAACGAGACTCAGGGGTAATAAACTGTTCCACGACCACCAACTGGTTCCGCATAGTTCGCCCTACGATTATCTACACGTAACGATGTCATTATGCATTTTATATAATTAAAGGCACCGTGACGTAACACGAGGGAGGAACCGGGGTCCTATCGTGTTACTGTACCCCGAGAACCGGAACACCTGAAAAAACCTCCCGAGAGAACCTTGTCACCGGTCTGCTCTGCATGAATTGAGGAAGATACGAGGAGACGCAATAACACGATATCCTCCGAATAGGGAAATCAAGCAGCGAAAAGAACAAAAAAAATAATAGAACCAAGAAGAAGACATCGGAGGAGCGCCTGGCCAGGTGGCCGAAACCACCTGCCTTTCGGAATGGCTCGCCTAACTAAAGCGTATCGAGTTCCTCAAGGCTCCTTGATATTCGAAAGATTCGTAGAAAAAAGGAAACCAGTAACCCTTCCCGAGGCGGTCTCCACGTGTATATAAATACTGAGAAACCTTCGGTTATCCGAACCTAATGCCAAGTCACTTCGAGCCGGATAAGAAAATGTCGAGTTAACGGGTAACCCTTATTATCTTCTGTTACCCTGTCATCAGGATACACAATTACCCTTAAAAATTGCCTTCTCAAAGTGGTGGGTCGATATGTGCTCGATTGTTGTAATTACTTACAGGAAATCATCGATGAGTGTTCGAAGGCTTCTCGAGCACTGAACATTAAATATTTGCTAAAACTCGTTACAAAAGTCAATGTTACACCTGGGGACCTCTCCTAGTCAGTGCCGAGGAGCCTTCGAACATTCATCGATAATTTACTATACTTCATATTTCACGAGTGTGTGATACCACGAATGTATACCATAATTTTTTTCAAGCTCAATTCGATTAATCGATATCAGTTTCATCGTTCAGAGTCCTCTCTTGCTACAGGAGCCTCGCGTTATCGCGTCGATTAGTTATCCCGGAATGATTCACAGAAAATAGAGGGGATTCACTGTCTGGCGATCTATGCAGAAAGTAGGAGGAATCGAGCATCTGCAACCTGCCAAATATAGCGTGGTGCGTATCTTCACAGGTATCCGAGCCAAATATACATCCTAGACGTGGTCTCCAGAGGCCAACGACCGAGTCACGTGTAGATGTGTGGGCGTTTTGCGTACAGTGGCCGCCGTCGCGGCTTATGCTACCGATTATGCCAGAGAGCGGCTGGCTCACAGCCCCCCAGCCGGGACCCGGAAACGTGCGTGGCATTCTCGTGTATCCTTTATGTAGCTCCGGCGCAACAAGAATAATACGCGGATGTATACCACGGTTATGTGATTCCCGAAAAAAAAGAAAGAAAAAATGATAAATCTGTCCCCAAACAGAAACTACAAAATGATGTAATTTCTCTGGAACCTTGTACGTAATTTTCCACCTCGACGAATTTGCTTCACACTTTCTCAATACGAGTATATAGGCACACACCATTGGCTTCTAATAATATCCACATCTCTAGATCCAATAACATCCACTTTTCCCCATGTGGGCGGCTATTATATTGCAGTCTTATTTTCTTCCATCAGTTGCATCGTTATCGTCGTTCACAGGTGTAAAAATAGTATTTTTATCCGTCAATCGAATCCCGCACGATATACAATAGATATAATACGCAGCACATTTTTTGTTTTTTAAAAGAAACAAAAGTGCAAAAAACGAATTGTCGAGAGATTAATTATTATGTAACTCGCGACGATGTTTTGCCGCACGACGTCATCCAAGTCATTGGACGGGACTCTCAACCGAAGGATTCAGCTCAATGAACCGGTAAACAGATAATACGCACAGAACTGTTTCTCATTGTTTATATACTGCCATTTTACGCTATCGTCGCCGGTGGGCGACTTTATCGCCGGGGCATTTTATTATAAATGTTTCTAATCGCTCTTATTAATAGCACGTATAAATCGGGCGATAATGGTATATCTTGTTAATAAATAACGGCGTTATGCCGTTCGATAACGCATTAAGAGAAAATAATTTACGATACACGCGTCGGCGGCACACTTGCAAACACGCGCGCGCTCGCTTGTCCGCTCGCTCGGTTACGCAACGGGACAATGCACTCTTCGCGGGGCAATCTCTATTCACGGTCCAAGGCCAGCTGCCTAAAGGTGTTTTATGGGCTAGAGGTTTTCAGTTTCCTACGATGGTCATCGTTTCCTCCTCTATCCAACGATTCTATTACCCCGGGCACGTCTAACGTACTGTACATAGAACCCGGAAGCGGCTCGTATTTACATCCTTATACCATTCTCTGATCCATTAACTATCCAAACAGTAGAAGCAACGTTCGAAAAAATTCATAATATTCTTCTGTGTGCACGAATTGCAGCGTAAGGGGAACCGTCATAGTTCCAATTAACCCTAGTGTCACGTATACGTCACATCTAGAAAATCATATTTCGAGGGGTTTTTTCGAGAAATCCAGACGAGTTATACTGGGTCATTTTTGAGTTAAATAATCGCGAGAAATTATCTTTTTCTTTCACCCGTAAGATCTGGTAAGGCATTAAAGGGTTAAACGCTAATCAAGCGCATACTTCGTTGCAAAGACTCGGGCTTCGAGCAAAAAAACGAATTTACGAGGGTCTGAAGCATTTCTCCCTATGCGTTTATTGTCCCGGCGCGGACCCGAGTTCGGGACAATAATCGAGAGGAGTCTGTAGAAATATTCAGAACGTTCCTTTCGTCCGACCACTCCAGAACCGCCCCTGGTGCTTTAGCCGATGTACCCTCACGAGTAAACTCATCAACTTAACATTCGATTTAACATTTATTTCTGTACTTTTTCCCTTAGCGGAAGCTGAGTTTGCTCGCGAGGCTGCGTATAAAGACCATCACTACCGAACGTTCAATTTCGGAACGCCAATCGTCCCATGGTTACCGTGAAAAAGAAACACATTCTTTCCCGTCGATTGCGTGTCGGTTAACGACGCCAAGGTGTATACACACTACGAGAGGCTTCGCGAACGAGATAAGGAGGCTAATTCGATCGCGAAACCGAATTGTACATAGTTGTTGCGTGGCGACGAAAAACAGCCTAGGGGGACCAACGTGAAATCGGCGGTCAATGGCCGGATGAAGGTCGCCCCGATGCAGAGCTCCTAGCGAGCTAATTCCCCGTTGGTGCCGAAATTCTGCCGAATCCGACAGAGATATTCTCTCGGTACGTGGCCAACTCGCGCACGCACGCCTCGAGATGATGAACACACACACACACATGCATAGACAGTGGTGTGTGCCTGCTGGAGAGCAAGGCCAGCACAGCCGAACCAGAGGAGCCGGCCAATCGTCAACGGCGGCTTCCTTTGGTTCCGGCCAATGGCTGCGTGGGACCAAGGTCGACAGCGTCTAGCTCGCACATGCCGCTGCACGATGACGATTGGCGCCGAGGGGCAGGGGGAGGGAGGTGGAGTGGGGGGAGGCGAGAAGAACGGGAGAACGGAACAACCGAATCGGACGCGCGAAAATCGACACGTGGACCACTGGTGGGGG